TTTTTTTAATTGGGTTTTACCTTATTCATATGATATAATATATATTATAAGGTATAGCTTTCTTGATAGTAAGAACGAAGTTATTGTCATTCCAAACACGTATAAATGTTAATAATTGTATTGTTTGATACCAAGAAATCAGCATTAAAATAAAAAACCAAAAATATTTCTAAAGATAAATTAGAATAGATAAATATTTCTACATTTATGATTTAGTTGATGTGGGTGTATGTCCTAAGGGTTGGAAAGAACGACCATCGAGTGGCACATGTTACTATATATCCGACAAAACCGATGAAAAAACTTGGGAGAAGGCTATGCTTACCTGCAAACATCGGCAAGGAGATATGGTCAAAATTGATTCAATTCAAGAAAAGGTCATAACTTCATGTGCTTAATTATTGTTACTTTTTTAAATAAACGATGAGTAGTTTAACTTCAGTTAAAAGTAAACGAGGTCCTCATTGGTATAATTTTACTGACAATTCAATAAACATCTGCATAGAACTCCTCTTTTTAGCAATGATCTCTTTATAACAACACAACAACAGTATCGAGCATTTAAATCTTCCCAAAGTAAAATTTCACAATGAATCTAACGTCAGTAATAATCAAAATATTGTGTCTCAAAGGGTGTTGCTCTGCAAAGATTGTCGTGTTTGTCAATAAAGAAGATAAGTTAACCTTTTAAGTATTTAATTGCATGATAAGTTTGATTTTTATTATAATTCAATGCCATTTAGTTATTCAATGAACACTTTTTTAATCATGTCTCGCTACAGTCCTGGTTGAGGAATGAGATTCAGTCGCAGCTCAAGTTCCAAAACACAGACAAATGGTGGATTGGACTAAACAACCGGCCGAGATTTGACAACAATTATTATAAGTGGGGAGATGGTTCATCCCTTAATAGTAACATTCTGTAAGAACTTATTGTAGATTTCTTGCGTTTTTATGTACTCTCAAACATATTGTACTGTGTAAAACAATATGAGCCGCGCCATGACAAAACCAACATAGTGCGTTTGCGACCAGCATGGATCCAGACCAGCCTGCGCCTCCGCGCAGTCTGATCAGGATCCATGCTGTTCGCTATCAGGTTCTCTACTTGAAATAGAGTTGGTAAGCGAACAGCATGGATCCTGATCAGACTGCGCGGATGCGCAGGCTGGTCTGGATCCATACTGGTCGCAAACGCACTATGTTGGTTTTGTTGTGACGCGGCTCGTATTCATTATTGCATGAATTTACTATGTAATATCTAAAACACAGGTGTTTAACTGAGATTGATCTAATATACTTTTTTTTCTTGGATTAACCATTAAACAGTATCCCTTTGACCGCCGTTGATATAAAGAATGCGACACCATTGTTACTTGATCATAAAACTGAAGATCTACATGTATATCAAATATTACATAATATCCTATTATCAATTAACTTAAATAACTTGAATGTGTCATGTTTGTAATTTCATATTTGTCCCAACAACTCCAAGATCTGTGTAACAACGGCTTTAAATTCATGACTGAGCCACATAAAAACGTGCGCTCTTAGATATGCAAAAGTTATAATGTTGTGAATCGTTACAAATGTATATAAAATAGTGATATAAAATTACCATTCCAGAAATGTTTGTGTAATAACTTGCATGATTTTTTTTTCAGGTTTTAAGGCCTTGGACCTAACACATTTCCAATATTTGTAACATTTTAGATACATCTTATTGATTTGAATTCATATATATTCTAATAAAAATTCCAGGCGTTGGAACCCCGGGGAGCCGAACAATTCTGGTGGAAGAGAACATTGCGCACAATACATGATGACCACTGACTCAATCAACGACAAAGATTGTGATTTATCTATGCCTTATATATGTGAAATGAAGATGTGTAAATATAATTCATTGTTAATTTAACATATAGAGTATGCCTACTTCGCGCACTTTGTTTTGGCTCACTCGTCCGGATTATATTACGATTTTTCTCTTTCAATTTAAACAATGTTAACACAAAAAAAAAAAAAAAAAAAAAAAAAATTTGATTGTATAAAGGGACTAATCCCTTATTTTCTTTTAAAAATTTTTTTTTATATCCGGTTTTTCCTTTAAATTTTGGGTTAAAAATATAAAATCATTATAGCCTAATTTTCCCAAATTTCCGCAAAAAACTTTACGAAGTGTAGAAAAAAGATTGTTTTTTTTTTAAAGTTTTTAAAAATTTTGAAAAAATTTTTCTATTTAAAAAAAAATTTTGGGTCTTATGAATACGCTTTTTGTCATTTAAGGTTTTAAAATCAAATGTCATATAACCGTTCCCGTGGGCCTAAATTTTATCCTATGTCCGGGGCCCTTTTCATGGAAAAAGGGGTTTATCACATGACTACGAAAACTGGTCCCCCCCAACCGTGTGGGGCTCAATCCCGACGGGTTTTCTTTGTTTTTCTTTCATGTGATGAAGTTATCAAGCTAAATTACGGAACGTTGGTGGATTAAGTAAGGTGCCCGCACATCTCTAAAGATGACGCACGTAGGTGCCCCTGACGCCTTCCTCAGCCAGAAAAGCTGCACAATTTCCATTTGAACTTAAAATCTAACGCTCTAAATTAAATAAATGAGTACGCATGAACATAACGCCATACACAGTTTGTTCTCATGGTCACAAATAGTTTATAAGTATTACAACTGTTCAAAAGTAAAAATATGTAAACGTATAGCTTTTTATTGAAATTGTTCTTCATTTTTAGACTGGACCCAGCCAATAAACAAACCTGGCATAGTCACACATAAACCAACACTTCCACAGACGGTTGCGCCAGTAACAAGTAAGTATGTCCCCTTTACTGAAATAATACAACTGAAATGTCTAATATAAAAACATTCTGGAACTGTTATTACAACAGCTAACTTTACGATTTACTGTTAGGTCATTTACATTTGTTTTGGTATTACCCCCTTATATCTTAAACGTACTTGTGCATCTTTTATTGTGGACAGAACCATTCATCAGTTTTGGAACAAATAAAAACTGAATCATTACTTTACAGTCAGACCATGGTAATAATGTTCCGGCTGATCTTGGTCTGCATTGATTGCGTGGGTAGAACTTGATGCTGCCAGCAGGCAAATGTTATGGTATGATGTTTCACATATATTTTAATATAATTTGTTTATTTCCGCAGTTCCTAACAAAGTTCCTGTTCCAATTGGGGTGACGGCGGTAACATCTGGGCCCAATGTATTCACAAGTAAGTTGTCTTCTAACTAATACTAGTAGTTCATAATCATTTCATTAGTAAAGAAATACATAAGCTGATACCTTCCAGATAAAACACATAAGGCATTCCACAATTACACTATAAGAAATTGCGCAAACACTTATACATTACACAAATACCAAGATATGGAGCGAACACTTATTCATGATGTAAACACTTAGTCGTGGAGAAAATAATTAGACAAAGAGCAAACACTTAGACATGGAGCAAACACTTCGACATGGAACAAACATTTAGACAAGGAGCAAGCAAATACTTTAACATGCAAATACCTAGACATAGGTCAAATACTTAGACATTGAGCAACCACATATACTTTGAGCAAAAACATTGACTTGGCAGAAACACAAAGACATAGAGCAAATAATTAAAAATAAGCAAACACACAGACATTGAACAAACATTCAGGCATTGAGCAAACACATTAGCATGGAGAAAATATTTTAACGTGGAGCAAACGAAATGGATACATGCAATCTATAGCATTCTGTTGCACATTTCATGATATATTCTTGATTAAGGTAAGGTTGGTATATGTCATTCTTTCTTTGTAATATATTTATTATATAAATATATATTTCAACGAAAGGCTGGTTTACGTTCATATTATTGACTTCTGTTATTCATTTTTGTCCAAACTTTTCAGCTGGGTGTTTCAAGCAAACAGATTGTGCGGGAAAAGCTTGGCAGAAATTACCCATCATGCAACGGATGTGGATATTACTTGACATGTGCACCAAATGGTGTATTCTTGCGAAAATGTCCTCAAAATACGAAATATGATGCAAATATTGACGCTTGTTCATTCACAAATCTACTTGTCGAGGACCATAATTAAGTATTGCTCATAAATATTTGGATAGGAGTTAACAGTTTACTATTTTTATGGTAACATTTATAGATTTTATATCATTTTACAAAAAAGGAAAAGAAAATAATTTCGTTATTTATCGTTTATTATTTCTTCATACTGGTAATATGACCAAAAATAAATTTGCCATTACTCAAAGAAATGAAGGACTTGTATTTATTTTTATTCCTAATTACCGTGAGATGCTACGTTTTATTCCAATCCTACAACTTTATATTCTTTGTTAAAAACATACCTTTAAATCATCGTACATTCTCTATTCTATTACAGGGTATTTGTTGTAATTATTTCCTATGTGCCTTTTTTAAGATCATACATGCGTTTACGTGTGTCAGTCCAACCGTGTTTCATATCCGCTTCACAAATTTGTCAACAACACTGAATCAAGAGCAGATGGCCAATATTCAACATATACGCAATTTATTTACTGAATTAAAAAAACAAAACTCTCATTAATTGAATGTTATAAATACCTCCTCAAAAAGGGTTACTTCAGTTACATCATGTGAAGATTTTGTCAAAAGTGTTATGACAAAATGTTAATCAAATCAAAGATTTTGGCAAAGTTTATGAAAATTCAATGATTTCAAGTCATTTAAAGTTTAAATCCATACATGTACTTGAATTGTTCCACTTGACGCTTTATCCTAAACGGTGATAAGGTCAAATATAATATAAATCAATTTGAATAACAAACCAAAGAAAGTTTTAGCATTTCTTATGCCTTACATTGAAGAACAGCTTTATCACTCACCCACACCGTGGCTGATATGCTCTGGGTTGTATGGATTTTATTTTACAGATAAAAACAAGTATCTGACTGGTTAGCATAAAACGAAACTATATTTCCTTACTTTTCTTTTGAAGCATACAATCTTTAAATAAGTCCAAAGATTTATTTCCTTTTCCCATCATTGAAAAAACGTTTCCTGATATCTTATATAAGCATTACTCTTTGCTTTGTAACACCGTCTAGGGTGACCTCAGTATATCCAAATATTATCATCTCTTAAGTCAAGCTTTAAAATATCTTCCCTCCATTATTGTTCAAGTAGCAAAGAGAAAAGGTGGTCTGCGCCATAGTGAGTCACCTTGATGGTCTCTGTACTCTCGTTTTTGTCGGAAAGGATACCTTGGTGCCAGATTAAGTACATGTCATACCTATATTCCACTATAACACCTGGATACAAATCAGACCAAGAGTTAGCACGAAAGGACAGAAACTCCTCGCATCTCCCATTGAATGCCGGTCCTCAGTTCAAAGATATTTTAGGGGTTACCAGACGAGAGCACCATTTCAACTTCTGACTTTGAAAAAAAATTGTCAAATGATCTTATCATAAGGGAATCTTTGCAACAAGAAAAGATTTTACAAAAATAGTTTGTCATTTTGAATTTTCTTTGTTAGACAGTCATACGTGATTTATATTATCATTATTTGAAGTAAAAAAAACATAGTCAAAATACAGTGACTTGCATGTAATTATGTAATATACTTTAAAGTCACGAATTTAGAAAACGTCAACCTGAGTTGACTATCATTCTTCAGCCAGTTTCCATGGCATATATTTTTGAAATGCTCATTTGGCGATACATATTATCATTATCGTCCTTCACCCATGTGGCCGAATTCGTGTGTCCTCGGTATTAGTATTGTAATGTCATCAGTTTATTCCATCTGAGGAGCACTAAGTTTTGGAAAGATCATAAAAACTCTTACTTTTAAATTCTAAATTGCACTCCCGCTACAGTATTTTTCACAGCCACTTTGATATTCATCAAGCATGTATTTCTTGTCTATTGGTTTTTAGAGGCTTGCACTATATGAGCCGTGTCACGACAAAACCAACGTAATGCGTTTGCGACCAGCATGGATCCAGACCAGCCTGCGCATCCGCGCAGTCTGATCAGGATCCATGCTGTTCGCTATCAGTTTCCCTACTTGCAATAGGGTTTGTCAGGTTGGTCTGGATCCATGCTGGTCGCAAACGCATTACGTTGGTTTTGTTGTGACGCGGCTCATATGATTTTATTAAACTAGGTCAATAAATTCGCTATTGAATCTACACTTATTCAAAATCCTCTATTTTTTAACACATAAAAGCTGACTGAGAAGCTGGGCAAGAATAATTTTGTACCAAATAGGTTAAGATAGAAACTTAACTTAAAAAACTCCGATTCAGCTTTAACTAATAAACAATGAAGGCGTGTTCAGAAATATACAAAACGATATGAATATACAAATGGTGAAAGAAATGGTTAACTATTTTTGTAAATTAATGGTGAATAGAAAACATCTAACAACAGAAACTTTTATCTATTTAATTATAAAGCAAAAGCAAATTATTCAAATCTAAACAATGTAAATATCACTAAAATAATAGAAATGTCAATAAAATGAGATAGTAAAATATTATACATATCTGTTTATTACAGATTAACACTTAAATATAGTGTAAGGTCATATCAGCAATAATATCAAACAATGTTTATGCAATTTTGTGCTTTAACATTATACAATTTTTAACAAAAAAGGAAATCCGCAAAAAATAGTGTACTTCAAGGTTAGTTTATTTGGTTAATTTAACTTTTACCAACATAATAAAGAATATTAGAATAACAATAAATGTGTTCCTTAATTACTCAATATGTTTTATATCAAAACTTGTCTATACATTTGATACATATGATAGCGTAAGATTTTCAATATAGATAAAATGATTCATTAAATTATGACTTATAACCAATTTAATAGCTGTGCTTTATAACATTCATTTCAGCCGATAATTCAGACATATTTAAATATAGTTAAATGTTAAACAAAGAAAAAAAATACAACTGCTGTCAAACAGCGATAAAATGTGAGAAAAAACACACTTTAATCTTCACAACTACGAATACAGTCATACAACTTATGACTGACAAATGATTTATTATAAATTATCTGAAACTGGAAATGTATTTGTATATAACTGATTAAAATATTTATAAATACGTATTTTACCAGTACATTTCTTTTATTCCAAAGTACAATAAACTTTGAAAATAAAATGTATTGATTTATTGGCAAATATCTAAATGGAAAATGAGTATATTGATCAATTTTTATAAATAATTCAATAAGTTCCTAAACGAAAAATCCAATAATAAAATAAGTTCAAGGAATATAATATACAGTGCAACCTCTGCAAAGTGGCCCACTATTGCAACATAACAATATCATTTATTCCAAAAGAAAAACTTCACCAGAAATTCGACCTCTCTAGAACAACATGTCTTAACAACAAAATCTTTGTATCTCTATGTTTGCTCTTCAGAGGCTGTGTAAAACAAAGATGTTTTCTAACACAATGTTAGCTATTTAAAGACGGACATTATTTACTAATGTTTTTTTACTATGTAAAACATTTACATGTTATTCAAGATTATACAATACCGTATACATCACATCAGTGTTTTTCAAAATCTACTTTTAGGATCAGATCATGTTAAGAAATGAAAAATTGTATAATAATTTCAAAGGTCGAACAAACACAACTGATCATTAGTTAATGAGAACATGTTATAACAATAATTACAAAAACAAAAAAGGGTAATTTAAAGAATGTTAAAGAATAATAATATCAGTAAAGTCTTCTTTAAATTAGCAATTGGTAAACAACTCAATACAGCTATATATCATTACCTAAAGAAAATCACCTCATTCTTAGTTTGCCAAATCCTGATATAGAAACAATAAACGTTATACAAAACTCATTATTTAAATTCTTATGCAAGTCAGGACCACACAAAATAAAAAGAAATGCTGTTTTTCAGAGTTATGAAAATTGGAGTTTCAGAGTAATAAATTTAGAGACATTGATAATGTTTCTAAAATTGACATGGAAAAGAAGGATTTAATGTATAATACTAAATACTTTCTATTTTGTAAAAAAACATGTACCCTTTTCCATCAAATATTAGGATAAATAAACTTAAGACACTGCAATATAAATTTAGGAAGGATGTTTTATTGGGCTCATCCAGTTGCATGAGCAGTACCCCCAGGAATTAGAGTGAATTTTGCTCACTTCCTGTTTGGCATAACTCTATATTTAATATAGGTGTTTTTGTGTTTGTTTCTTCAAGATATGTAAATTGCGGCATTATATTGCTTAATGACTTCTTAGATAATAGAGGTAATTTGCTATCATTTGATGAATTTTATCTCAGCTTCATATAAACAATAATTTTTTAGAGTATCAAAGCATTATAGTCTTTTAGGAGATTTTAAATCAAATGTCTTTTCGACACCTACCTAAGAAAGAGGAAATGCCTATTCAGCCTTAATTGATCAATATAATCAATAATTAAAAGAAGGGATGTAGACAAATCTATAATAAGATTCTTAGAGCAAATACATCCCCTATTGCTAAGAGAAAATGGGAAGATGAACTCAATTTGAATGATGATATCAATTGGAATGGCATTAATAGGCTCCCTTTTCTATATTTCAAAGAATTCAAATTTACAATGGTTTCAGTATAAGGTAAATCACAGGATACTGGCAACAAATTATCATTTACATAAAATGAGAATAAAAGATGTTAATACATGTTCTTTTTACAACAATCATATTGAAATTATAAAACATTTATTTTTGGATTTAAGCTTGATCATCTTTTACTACACCCACTGCCTTTTTTGTTTATTTTTCTCTTGAACATCTTGAATGACCGTTCATCTTTTTTTAATTTTTTTTCTTAATGATATTAATGCATAATGTATTCATGACAAGAGGCACACCTCATTTAAAAATAGTAGGAGTTGTTTCCCTTGAGTTGATGATAATTTTGTCAGCATAAATATCAATGCTTTTTTGTTTGGAATTTCTCCTTTATGTCAAAAAAGTTCTATAATAGTGTAAAGAAAAAAGTTCTGAAAAGGACCCTTTTTCTAATGATATATTAAAAAAGGATCTGACATTAATTAATGAATGACATCTTTGATAAGATACTATTGAATTATTATCTTTATAAACTATGTTGAATCTTAAAAGAAATATTTTGTGCATCTTTAAATATATGTCTCAATATATTGTATGTTTTTTTTTGTTTTTTTTTTTTTTTAAAAAACTGAAAAATAAAAAAATAAATAATATTAAAAAACACACACACACACACACACACACACACACATACAGTGCAGTTAGAAATACAACAAAACTCTGCATACATAATTTTATGTTCATTACAGAACACTTAAATATAGTGTAAGATCATTGCTGCAATAAGTTCAAATACATGTCTATGCAATTTTGTGCTGTAACATAGTCCAGTTTTTTGTGTTTTTTATGCATTTATAAAAATTCTGGAAATCCGCAAAACAATTGTGTACTTCAAAGGTTAGTTTATTAGGTTAATTAAAATGTTAACTACAAAATAAAGGGTAATAGAACAACATTAAATGTGTTCTTGATTTATACATGTCTTATATCAATCTTATCTATTAAGCATTTAATGCATGTAATAGCGAAAGGAAAGGTTTTCAATAATGGATAAAAAACAAACATGACTTATAAGCAATTCAAATACTGTGCTTCAAAACATTCATTTCAAAACAGATTATATAAATATATGAAATTGTAGTTAAATGTTAAACAAAAAAAGATAGTACAACTGATGTCAGAATCAATCGTCCTCGGCGATAAAATGAGAAAATATAACCCTAATCTTCACAACTTTGAACTTATTCAGACAAATGATTTATTATAAATCATCTGAAACTAAAAATGTATTTTTGTACATAACTGATTAAAATATATATAAATACGTATTTTACCATTACGTTTCTAATAAAGCCCTTATCCTAAAGTAGAATAAACTTAAATTAATTAATTGTTTTGATTTATTAGTAAACATGTAAATTGAAAATAAATAGAATGAACAAATTTTATAAATGATTTTAAGTTCAGCAATTTCTTAAAAAGAAATAACCAATTATAAAATGTGTTCAAAAATTAGAATATACAGTGCAACCTCTGCGAAGTGGCCCACTATTGCAACATAACAATATCATTTATTTCAAAAGAAAAACTTCACCAGAAATTCGACCTCTCTAGAACAACACGTCTTAACAACAAAATCTTTGTCTCTCAATGTTTGCTCTTTATTTTTTCATGCGCACACTCCTTAAAGAAGTACCCATGTACTTGTAAAGACATGTTCATAATTTTCAGCAAGACAACCAATACTCTTTCTTCTAACTGTTCGTTTACAACCAATCAGAAAAATCTTCAATGACTCAAATTATGTGATTGATTGGGATAGAACTAGCCTACCATCATGATACAATTTTATCACTGACTGACAACATAGACCAAAAGGTATGAAACAGCAGCTGTTATTTAAACTGTCTAATATGTTACAACTTTGAAGAAACCAATCACGTGTGACATTTCTTCCGGCAATTATCTACACTTCCTGACTCGTTTTCTTAAGCACGCAATCTTTACAAAAGTCCCAAGATCTATTTCCTCTTTTCCATCTTTGCTCTCCAAGACGTTTCCTGGCATTTTCAAGCACTACTCCTGCTTTATAACACCGTCTTGGGTGACCTCTGTATATCCGAATGTTATCATATCTCAAGTCTAGCTTCATTGTATCCTCCATTATCGTTCGAGTAGCAAAAAGATGGTCTGCGCCATAGTGAATCACCTTGATAGTCTTTGTACTCTCGCATTTGTAGGAAAGGATACCTTGGTGCCGGATTAAGTAATACCTATATTCCACTATAACACCTGGGTACAAATCAGACCAAGAGTTAGCACGAAAGTACTGAAACTCCTCACATTGAATACCGGCTTTCGGTACAAGAAGGTATGGGTCTTTTTGAACACCAGAAAAAAGCTCCTTTTCATCTTTTGACTTCGAAACAACTATTGGGTTTTGAACTACTTTAGCCCAATGAACAAGATCTGACGATGTGTTTCCCTTGATGGAGAATCGCTGCTCGTGAAGTCTTGAACGAGCTCGCTTTACAGCAATATTCGCCGGGTAAGTTACATAGCCATCGTAACTTTTCTTATACACACGACATTTCCTCAAATCAATAGGCATTGGTTCTTCACTAACGGTCCGGACTGCAAAAAGATCCTTCAAAGCATAGTGAATTATCCTCAAAACGCCAGTGGTGTTGGCTTTTGAATCACCACGGATGACTTTTGTTACTATTGCATCATGCCTAAAAGACCAGTAGTAGAACGTTATTACGTCACCCAACTTGATTTCATCTATATCTAATACAACTGGGTCTTTTTCCTTAACTACGATTTCCCTTGCAAGATGTGAAGATCTATGGAAAAATGTATTGTAATTCTCTTCCCCTATTCTTGCCCGTGCACGTCTGATCACGTCACTTGTTTCATAACGGTAAAGTGGGTGATATTTATAAACCCATACATCTTCCACGTTGAGGTTGAATGTAAATTTTTCTTCGCATACTTTGCCCATTTTACCATAGTGGACGACAGTGATGTTCACCTTTGCTGAAATTTGCTTGTCAAAATGTACATTCGTACTGACAGCCTTATGCCAGGAACGTCGGTATTTGAATTCTACTATTTTGCCAACTTTGATTTCATCCCTAATTCTTGCCCATTTCTTTTCAAGAGACATCGATGCATGCTTTCTCCTTCTCATATGATCGACATGTATAGATTGAAGTGGTAAGTTTGAAATTGTGTCTTTTGGGTCTAGCTCTCTCAAATACAGCAGCCTGGACTCTGCTGATTCCGGTACGATAATTTTTTCATCATTCAGTTCCTCGTTTACTTTAGCCCAGTGACAAAAGTGACAAGAACGATTTGTCATTAAACCAAATTTTGCTTCACCAAGTCTCTGTTTTGCCCGTTGAACTACAACTTGCGCTTCATGTACATTGTATCCAGAGTAATCGTGGCTGAAAATCAAATCTTTTCCAAGATTAATTTCAATAGTTTCTTCGACGATAGTTCTTCGACCAAAGAGAGATGGAAGTGAGTAATGTATCACGGTAATTTGACCCCTTTCGTTTCTCGTATTTGGACAAATATTGATAGCGCTTACGACTCCATCGTGTGATATTTTCCAATGATCAAACGAAATAACATCACCTTTCTTGATTGTTTGCAAACTTTTTACTGTTAGCAATCGTCCTTGAAAAGGTGAACAAAACCGCTGTCGGAGCTTCGGAATAACCGAAATGCATAGCAAAGTTAAAACACTACAAACAGCCAAAGCCCCAAATACAATACCAGAACTAGCTCCTGCAGCTATGACCAATGACAACAAGCCAAGACCACCTACCTGAAAAACACAATATGCAGCAAACTGAATCCATAGGTCATGCTTTTTGCGCAAACAACAAGCTGAACAGATGTTTCCAGCTTTCATGGCTTTATCTAACTGAAAATGACGGTAAATTGTGTGGATAAGGTAGAATATAGCCATAATTGAAAGCACACCCCATGGTACATGAATAAGAGCGCCTGCAGCAACCTTTGACAGATCCTCAACTGACAACATGAGTAGTTTACAAACAACTCGCAGAACCTTACCACCAACATTTGCAATGCCGGCAAGAACTGCTCGTAAAGTTTCTCTAGCATTTTCTGATTGATAACTATCTTCACTACCAACACAACACCAGTTACAGAAAGATTCACAATTACAAGACAATATTGAATATTTTGCAAGTTTGTTTTGCTCTATTAGCCCTTCTGCTCTTTTAATAACAATATCGGCATTATGTGCAGGATGTCTGTATCGAATGGTGAAAACTTCGTTTAAATGCAAGTCTAATAGCGTTGAAGTTTCCCGAATCTTAATCGACACGTCGAATGGTGTTGAGTAGAAATGTATCATAGAAACAACAGCAGACGAAGGAGATATAACATCGATATCCTTGACAATTGCATGATGCGTGTATGCTGACACTTGCTTATCCCCATAGTTAAAAACGAGGTATTGGCCATTCATACAAATGTGGTCCGCTCGTTTAAGATCCGCAAAATTTAAAAGTCTTTCTTTCTTCGAACAAGATACACATCTTACATCGAGTTCTGTTTCTCCATCCATCCCACTAGACCGAACGCGTAGAGCATTGTAAAGTGTACTCAACATTATTACTTATTCGATATAGTCAATTACATAAACAGACTATTTGAAAGACCTGTGTGCCTTTCAATACCGCTGGTATCTTAAAATAAAGAATATTGCGTAAATATAACGTTCAATTAGTGTGTGTTTTTTGGTGGTGGGATATCCCTGGAACTCAGCAAATCATATACATGTGCTTGTACACCTGTCTGAAAAAAAAATGTTTCTTTGAAAATAATCAATGATTTAAATGATAAAGAAGGGAGCATTTTGAAGTAGATAAAACTTTATTAAAAAGAGCATAACAAAAGTTTGATTTGGAACTATTCGATCACAGTTCGATTGACAAACATTGAGAACCTATATAGAACAATTTGAATCACTATTATCAATATATCAGATAAACTATATAAATACCTTTCAGCAAACATAAGACGATGTTGAATGCATTCACTTTCTCTGGCTTCTTGTAATCCTGGATACACCAGTGCATGAACTAAAACAAACGTATCATCATTTTCTGAATCAGTGAAACATTAATATTAACATAACAGTGTCATTTTATATAACTCGCAAACAATATTTAAAATAAATTGTAATTATCTTGATTAATTAGAATCAAAAATGTGGAATTTGGGAATCTTGTAGACTATGGCATCTGAACTATAGATATATGCCTATTATATGACACGCCTTTCATTAAAACGGTGCTAACATGCAGTAGGAAAAAAATCTGGAAACAAAGTGATCCCTCGGCGCATTAATCACAACAAAATGTCGTGAAAATTGCCGACTTGGTTTGAATGAGTCTGTACATGAGGGATAATGAATAAGTGCAACATCTCTCACGCCCCCTGGCACCGGCTTGAGCGGTACTCAATTCTCAACACTTAATAGTGCTGCCATCAATGATTCCAAAGAACCAGAAAAATATAACAACACGGAAGTGAAGTACAGGGCAACTTTTTACAGCTGCCACACAACCCTTGACACCTGATGTTGCGAAGTAAAAATATCTGGAATCGGTGCTAGGGGGCGTGAGGGATGTTGCACTTATTCAGTATTCCTCATGTACAGACTCAATCAAACTGAGTCTGCAATTCTTATGTAATTTTGTTGTGATTAATGCTTCCGAGGGATCACTTTCTTTCCAGATTTTTATTAAGGATTTTTTTTTCGAAAAAAAAAATGTTTAACTTTTAAAGGGTAGGTAGGGTAACCCCAAGACTGGACGAGCACCTGTGCCCATTTGTGCCACCAGTGTTATGCATGCAAATTTGGACAAAAAAAGGACCCAGAAGTCCACTGATTATAACTGAACCGGAACATGCTGACGATAACAGTAACAACATTTTTTTGTAAAAACGAATATTTTTTTCTCAAAAACGATTTGAAATCTATTCTCTATTGTATAAAACTAATAAAGAAAATAATCAATCGTAAAAATACTAACATTGGCTCTCCCACGCGTAGGAAATAAAAGTATCTAGGGAAACAAGTGTGCACATTTCATTTTTTACTTTTTTTCGCAGAAAGAGTCAGTTGCTAATTTGTTTTAAATAGTAGCTTTATAGACAAGTAAATGCACTAAAAGGTACCAATTAATATGCATGTATCAACTATGTTACACCTAAAATGAAAGCACAGAAGGCGCTGAATTTGTTTGGGTCTCAGAATGTCAGAAAGGTGAAGGTTGTGTGATTATAAACCAATTGTTTGTGTATAGTGCCACCAATGCTTTCCAGTGTTTCGACTGTAGTAAATTGGCTATAAGACTAATTACAACACTGATAGTCAATTCAATGTTTATTTGACTTAAAAAAAAGAGTTGCTTCAACTCGGATTTGAACTCGAGACCTCTCAATTCATAAGCGAGCGCGCAAACACCTCGGCCACGGTGAATTATATGTTAACAGCCTGAAGAAAACCATATTATTCTAAATTAGGGTTTGTAACTCTTATTATTTCGACGCTAAACACAGATGTAAATAATCATGGAGCTTACTGTAATTAAGCATGTATATCTATAAAGAATGAAACAATATTAGAAATCTTCGACCATTCGGGAACTACTTTGCTTGAAAATTAATGCGCCTGTCATTTGACAATCTTTACGCATTGATCTCCCCTGAATTTTTCAGCGTTAGTGTACATATAAAGGGAAGTAACCGCTTCAAAAAAGTGGACTACTTTAGGCATTTGCAATTAACAGCATTAGGCTCTGAAATTTCGCTACCATTATTTGTTTGGTCTGACGACCCAAACAAATAAAAACTATGTCACTTGTCTATTGAGACAACACAGGATGCGCTATGTGTAGATCAGCACTTGGTAAGGTTAATGATATGCATGGGCTATTTTTAGAAAGACAAAAATCAATCATAAAAGAAACTAACTTTTGCGTTGAAACGGAACATTTTCGTTTATTATTTATTTCGTCCTCCTACTTACGCTTTAAACTGATAAATCAATTTAAAAATAGAAATCCTTTATGATTACCGAAGTAACTAAAATAGCTTAGATTTCCGTCATTCGGAACAGCCTCGGCTATTATCTATAATAACCTCTTGAAAGTAGTTCTACCACGTGGTTTCAGATGTAAACAGAACAGAGATAATGTAAAACGAATGTATATATTTGACATCTAATGTGTGTCCCGGTACTCTTATGCTTGAAAATATGTCTGACAACAATTTGCAATTTAAGTATGCCCACTGATGTTCAATTTTAAACAAATCCGACTAAATGTCTACAGGTTGGTTGTTTTTTTGTACTTTCGGTTTCTGCAACCATAATAATAAATATAAAAATAATGTATTGTTTGCTATTGTACCAATGAATTCACTTATTTTAGGTGGACTTTTACTACATATATTGGAAATAAACTTGTCAACAAATCCAAGCATTAAATTACTATTTGTTTACATGTTTAGTTTCTTAGCGTGTTTCAAATGATTATCTGTTCTAGTTTTAGAAAATTTCGAGGACATGTTAAAATTTCAGAACATTTATTTTCTAAGTCAAGTTTTGACCTTCAAGTGTGGCCTTGACCTTAAGCTGGTACAAGGGTAAGATGGGTTCTGCACATTGCCCAGTTGGGGTGGAAATTCGAGTCAAGTTTGAAGAAAATCCTTCCATTAGTATAGAATTTATAGAGCGGACCCGACATATTGTCTAGTATTGATTGTATGTAAATCTGAATACTTAAAAAGGGGCATAACTTTGTCAAAATCCAATACAGAGTTATGAAACTTGACCTTGATCTTAATTGTGACACTTCATATATATTTTATGTTTCAATCAAATACATTTTCTAGTTTCAGAAATATTCATATACATGTTAAAATTTAAGAATATTTTCTAAGTCAATTTTTGACCTTCAAGTGTGACCTTGACCTTAAGCTGGCAAAAGGGTAACATGGGTTCTGCACATAACCTTGTTAAGGTGAACATTTGAGCCAAGATTGAAGAAAATCTTTCAATTAGTGTAAGACTTACAGAGCGGACACGACATACTGTCTAATATTTGATTGTTTGATATTTGACCTTCAATTCAACTTATTGTGACCTTGACCTTGAGCTGACACATGGACAACAAGGGGATATCCCTTGTTGAGGTGAACATTTGGGCCACGTTTGAAGAAAATCCTTCAATTGGTTTATGATTTATAGAGCGGACACGACAATGGAGACGGACGGACTGACCGACCGACCGACGCAACAAAGCGAATCCATTATAGCCCCCCCCCCCCCCAACCGACCGACCGACCGACGCGACAAAGCGAATCCATTATAGCCCACCCACCCCCTACACTTTGTGGTGGGGTATAAAAATAAATAAAATCCAAATACAACTTACACTTTTGTTGTTACATCTTTGTTGTTTTGTTTTTGTTCATGTTGAACCTATACACTGAAGAAATGCTGTCAAAATAGAAAAAATATAAGAAGAATAGAAAATGAAAGTAAGCTTTTCAAAATACCTGGAAAAGAAAAAGAAAGTAGATTTTCCGTATTACGTAATTTATGCTGTAATATGATATCTGTAATAAATATCAAGGAGAAACTTAAATATATATTAATACAATCAATATTAAAAGACCATATTCGTTTTACATTATTTCTGTTTCTGTTTACATCAGTAAACCACGTGGTAGAACTACTTTCAATCCGTATTGTTTCCGAGGTCAATATTGTAGATAATGGCCGAGGCAGTTCCGAATGGTAGTCGTAGGGGACCAGAACAGCGAAATAGTACGGTGTATGTTTTGTACTTTCGTTTTCGACAAAATGGCCGACAATCACTGTTGTTTTGCAAAATTTTAACAATTTGGAGTGCCCGAGTTTAAATGTAGGTTATTTAAGATTGTATGTAAGGTAGAAGAAGAATGTTAACAATTTTCTAAATGAAAGATGTGTAAAGAGTAGCAAAGTAGCTTGTATTGTTACAGAACTCGACATTGTGGTTGTTCCACAGCGTGTCCTAGTAAGCTCCGTAGCGTTACGGCTTTTCGTAGTATAGGTATATAGGAAAAAAAAAATCAAATTTTTTTTTTCTTACACTCAACCCAAAATAGCTGTTTTTTTTTTTTTTTTTTTTTTTTTTTAACTTCAATGTTTGCGACGGACGCGCCCTCAGGCGCGTTCAGAGCTATGTCATCTACACATGGGATTTCGTCGGCTACAATCGCGCAATGTGTCCTCAACCGAATAACAGCCCACGAAGTAGTACATGAATTTCATCCTATGAAACTCCCATACTTCGTCGGGATATCTTAAAAACTTCCATATTTAGCCTTTTCAATTTCAAATTAAGTTATCCAAGTTAAAATATAAACGTATTTGATTGATAAAAACGCTGTAGCCCCGTAGTATTATTGCGCAATTATGCAAATAACTGCTGAAACGATTTACCGCTGTCGAAAAAGTAGGACAGCAAATTATGCTATAATTAAGGAGTAAGCTCAATAATTCATAGAAATTATAAGCAGGAAATAAATATTCCCCCATTAAACAAAACATTTTTTATTAACAGATGACTTTAGAATAACTCGCGCATTAATAAAAGAAGAACTCTTTGCGTGACTCATACCGCGGGTTTAGCTGTATATCCAGCTGTTATTAATAAATTAGACTACAGTACAATGGTTAGTATTATAAATAATACATGTAACAAGGGAGTTTTTCAACACTTTACCACCATGTAGTCTTTCATGGTAATCTTTATTGAAGGAAGTTATAATATCAGTTCTACTTCCGATTCTTGTGTTTTGTTTACATAGCTTTCTAGGTCACGATATGAGTTAACCTGCCTTGTTCGACCAGAAGATAACACTATTCTAAAAATAGATTCTTCATCATCTGTGCTGACTTTCGGACGAGTACACATTATACATGTAACAAGTAGAGATTTTGATGCTAAAGCATCAAGTCGCCGGATAGAAAAATGATTGTATTATCATAAATATAAGAAAATGTAAGTTTAATGGTTCAAGTATAAATATAAGAGGAACAATGAGTTGAGTATTGTTTGCCACTGAGGCTTGTAAGGCAAGTGCTATGCTGGTAATTCTTCTTGTAATTGTACTTTATAAATAAACTGTTGTACCATACATTGAAATCCGTATAGGTTACTAGTTCAGATTCAGATAATTACCGACAAATGATTACCGATCATCGAATATTTGCAAAGTGACTATGAAAATACATATGTTTAATTATTTCTTGAAACAATGCAATTTTACTATAAAAGTGTTGTACATCATTATTATGTGCTACCAAAAAAAAAATAATTTAGTGGAAATCAATACATGTATTCCCATCGTTACATACGATATATAAAATTAACGTTTAATTGCCTTTCAGTGCGATAAACTATCAACACAAAGATAGTTTATTATTTTTTTCTATGTATCTAATACGATTCCGGACCCTTTGGAAACCTGCGTGACGGAAACCGACGGAATATACCGAAATCAACGATTACCATTATATATTTTCAATAATGTGTCTCTTACATGTCTTAAGCATAAAGTTATTTTGGGATGTTCAACCTAAACTAAACTATTAAACTTTCTAGTCGAAAGTTTTGACAGAAAGGGCCAAGTTTAACCCTTTACCAAGAAGAAAGGAAAAGGTTTTGAAAATTTATTTTAATGCGTAAATATGAGAAAACAGGTTTGTCTGATGATATAAAGTATGAAACTGATTAATGAAAAATAACTTATGTAATTATCTGTACAAAATTACAATGATTTGCATCTTACCAGCTACCATACTTTTGCCAACCATTAACATGTTACCTGTGTTGCTTTATCAGCAATTGTTACTATTAATAGATTTTATAACGATATACAACATATATAACATGTAGTCACGTGATTCTTACGAAAGACCAGGGAGAATTTGTTTATAATTAGATAAAAAATATTATATATACAGGTCTCATAAAATATAAACAACCAAATAATTTCAAGTGTCATTTCAAATTTCATTCATGATTTATATATTATAAAATAGCAATGCTTGACACATAGAAAAAAGTAAAAGTAACCCCAATATTCAATGACTGATCCTTGGGGATACGTTATTGATTCATTTTATGAAAATTATAATATTGCTTTTTAAGATGTCAATATGTGCATATTTTATTTTAATGAGCAAAGTTATCATATATTTGAATTTTTGAGATTACTGAAAAATAATTGTTGTCTTAAATTGTTCAATGATTGACATGTTTTAATTTTCAGATTTTAAGGGCTTCTCCTACCATAGGTATAATATTAAACTGTTACAAATATAGTCGCCGGTTTCTACCGGCGACTAATAAACCAGCGAATACTTACTTTGTTTACATGCAATACTTTAAGAAATTCTATACAATTGTAAGAAGCAAACAAGTTGAAAATGAAATTTAGTGTGAAATTTAAACGGACAACTAAACACTGTAGTGCTTAAGTGACGTAAATGAAAAAAAAATCTAAAAAAACACCATTAATTGCTGATGATTTTAACCAAAAATACTTTTAATGAGACATATCCAAGAGAAATAAAAATACAAATGACTTATATTTTATTGTCTATATACCCACTATGATATAACACGAAGCAATTCTAATTAACATTCTCACATGTATTATATATTATTATTGAAGTTTATTTGCATGGTTTTATTTTAGAAATATTTCGTTGACAGTTTTTTTTTCTATTTACATATCATTTCTTGGAATAAATCGATAAGGACACTGATTTACAAGTTTGACCAGAGTTTTTAGGAATAAAATTCATGATGTATTTAAAAATTTGGACTTGTTCTGCTTGAAAGTAGAAAATCTGAATTATATCAGATTGGGACAAATAAAATATATTGCTCTACAAATCTCGAACTTGTACGGAACAAATTTTCTCTGTTATATCTTTTGTGTTTTTTGTTTTTGTTTTTTTTTTTCTCTAAAAAAGCCTTTATGTCTCTCCGGTTGCATGTCCGTCGAATTCAGTGCTGCAGCACTTTGATTTTTATATGGGCACCACCTGTGTTTTAAACAACAAAAGTTGTATTCATTCGAACAGTTAATGTGTTTAAATATACGTGAAATATGCATACATAGGCATAAAAACAAAACTAATTCTCAATCGATACATTGTTTGGAGACAACAGAAGAAAAATGAAAAAAAAAAGATTTAGATTGTACTCACGTCAGTCAGTTTAACTTCATCTAAACCGAAAGTAGGTTCCGCAATTCCCCCAGTCTAACTTCGGGATTTGTCGGAAATTTACAATCGCGATTACTAGTAGATCTATTACAACATTAATCTGTATATCTGTTTGTCTGTCCTTTTTTCTCTCTGAATACTGCACAATCCTCTCTAGCAGATAATATTTGATAGCAAGATTGTTAGTAAAAATGTGAGACTGTGATGAGAGTTGTCCATTTTCGTGTCTGGGCAATATCTCGCCTCTCTACGAAGTACCTTTTCTTAGAAATATCAGAATCATCATTATCTTTTTAGAAAAGCTACTCCTCACTAAACCGTTTCTTGTTAACAAAAAAAAAATAAAATATTTTGTTCAGCTTTCCAAGTAAATATAGGACATCGGACGTATTGGTATCTATAGAATTTTTTTCCACGATTATGATGAAAATAGGTATATGTTAAGAGCAGAAACATGAGGTTTATATGTTACAAGAGCAAGAGCAATGAACGGATTCCTATAGTGCCTTAGCGGCTACGAAAAGACACCATTCTAAGGAATTTGACAGTCTGTTTTTTAAAATCAGGTTGATTAACTATTAAACGATACTTTCAATGTTCAAAATAATTTTTATCAATAATAAAACAAATAAATGTCATACGCGGTGCCTCGACATTATACATGTATGTGCGAAAAAAACATTCCATGTAAATTCTTCTTTTTTTAAATTTCTTATCCACGCAGGTCCATAATTCTGGATAGTTTACTCCAAAAAGCTTTCTGAAGATGTTTTTAGAAAGAAAAACACACACACGTTGGTATGAAAATTGTTTTAAAATAACCGTGCTAGCAGAGATAAATTTCATAAAACAGGTGCCCGCTTCATTTTTGTTGTTGTTGTTTTTTGTTTTGCAAAATACTTTCATAATGTTGGTATACAGTAAAGATTTTTATCACATAATACGCGGCGCAGGAGTGTAATAAAGCCATTTAATAATCAAAGCACTGAATGTACTGATGGGGAGGCTATGAGAGAATGTTTCAGACTAATAGTTTCTTTTCTTTTTCCTTAAAATGTGCTACCAAAATAAAAAGATATGCACATTGCGCTATTTATCCTTACTGTTGTGATCAACCATTCATATATATGGTTAATGTGGTTGACTATTCATTTTGTTAATATTCCAGAACATTTCATTGAGGTCTACATTCGGCCTGTTAATCATTCAAATTTTGAAAAACCTAAACTGTCAATAATAAATGACATACCAGCAAGTAAGACGACTGTTCATTATCAGATAACAATAACATTTTACAACTGACGGTTCCTTATCAAAATACTCAAGGACTGTTCATCATAAATACTTTATGTCATTTTAATATTATTGAATGATAATAACAACTGCAAGTGATGCAACATTTTTATTGAACATAAAAATTATACATATTTAGATGTACCATAATTGAGATCAATAAGATACTGTCTTGTGATGAGTATTAATATTCATGCTATACGGACAGAAGGTTGTCTTCTCCAGAAGCAAATCTCGAATAAAACCACGTTTCAGAAAATTATTCCCATTTCATTACTGACGGCGTCGGATAATATTAAAGCTAAATATTTCTTGAAAAAAATACATATCTGCAAAGCTTATTCAAAACTGAATCAACCTAAGTGAAAATTGATCAGGAAGTTATATCTTCTTTTTTTACCGCCAACACTCAACCAACTTATGGTAGTTCAATCGATAGATTCTACGTGTATTTTTAAACCTCACTAGCTTGAAATATATACTGCGGAAAATCTGTTGTTAACAGGGTGTGCGGTTATTACGTAGGGTTTTCCCTGTCGACCATTTCCCGCAAATAGATGAGAACATCGAAGTGCTATGAATGGTGTTATAAATGGCGTGTTTGGAAGTTTTTGTTGAAACTTCTCCAAATCCCTCCAGAGGCGTGCACGTCGCGGAGAAGGCACACGGAAGGTCATAGTCAAGTCATCATAAGTACCAGAGGTGATTGGTTGATCTGTCGTGACTTACTCTGGAGGTTTGGCGCTAATAGATGCCGTTTTTGTTGTCGTCAGTCAGAAAGTTGATGCCTTGACGGTATTGTCGTCTCCTTTACCACCAAAGAACGGAGAATGGGCTTCCAGGAAGAATCTGCTTGAAAAAGACGTCCCAGATGCTATAATCTCGGACATATGGTTATTCCGGCGCCGAGTATAAATAAACTTAAAACACACACACTTTTGTTGAAAACAAAACAAAAAAAAACAACAACACATTTTCTGTAGTAATTTTTCAAATGTTGTAAAATGAATAAGAAATTCTCTTATGCGCCGATTATTTTTAGAACACAAACATATAAGTTCTTTTTTTTTTATTTTTCAAATAAACATTAATCACTTCAGCGCGCGCAAATATCGTTTTCAAATTAAAGTTTCGTAAGATATGTTAATGACTTCCCGATGCTCGACTGTAAGTAATTTGTATATGTATGCGGTTTTTTTTGTTGTTTTTTTGTTTGTTTTTTAATTAAAGTTTCTTATTCTTTAATATTTTTTATGTATCTCATAATCTGTATTGAAAATTTGAATTTTATTACACATGGACTATCAAATTATGATGTATGCCCTAGAATTGAATAAACTGTCTAATTACACAATACGGGGTCAAACTGATCTTTGCGTCTTTCTCTGAAATAATTATTTCCTTGTTAAAACATATTTGACCACATATTTCTGTCAATTAACTGTTCACTTTACTTCCGATTTTTGTTGTACGGAAACACATGTTTCTATTTGTGTTTTCTAATCAATTCGAATCTATAATCAGTTTAATGGGATCACCACCGGGTAAACGACTACTAGGTACTTTGGTCATGTTTTTTACCCCAAATATTTGAATGTTTCTATTGGGATTAAAATGAGCATAGTTAACTAAACAACTGTTTGTATAAATCCCTGACCTGTCTAATTCTAATTATGAGATTAGTGAATATATATAAGACTTTCACTACAAAATATTCCTAAACAAAAGAGCACATGTTTAAATTTATTCCTATACAAATAAAAGATCAGAGTAGGGATCTGTCAATTGCCAGACATATTTTTAAAAGCTACTTTTATGTTAAAAGTTTGATTAATGAATTATGTAAGATGAAAATATAAGTATTGCTTTTTTTATTTTCCTAATGTAAAATGTAATATTGTGCTGGAATTTTGTCGGAGGGTCCTTAGGGGTCTTGGAGTTAAATAGTTTTTTTCGGCGATAATGGTTCAAGAATAAATTGTTTTCAAACTATAAGTTCATCACCATCAGTGAATTTTTAGTTAAATGTATGCAAAATATTAACTAACAGCTATATGATATAGCGGTTTATGACCGTTTTCCGCGTACAGCCTCCTGGGGTGTACTAATAAGTTAGTTTTCCTTAGTTATCACGCAAGCATGATCCATGTCTCTGATGTAAGCGACAGTTTACAATTATTTGTCTTTAAAAAATATTAAGGACTATTAATGGTTTATAACAACAAAAGAACATGCATGATATTGAGAATACGGTGTTGCAACGTTCTAGTTAATGACCCGTCATAAACAGTTGGTCGCTGCGTAGTAATTGGAAAATTGTTATCAAAAGTAATAAAGAATATTTGCCACTAAATTAAAGCATTTACTTATAAATTTTCATTTATGCTTTTTGTTAAAAAAATATTGATAAAGTTATTATTTTGAAGGGTTTTCATACCAGAACTATTTATTACAGACGTACGTATGCCTAAACCTGATTACCGCGGCAGTATGACGTCACGGAGTAGTGATTTAAACAAAAATCAAGAATTTTTCAGAGAATTATTATCTTTACAAATTGCAGATATGAAATTAAAGAATGAAAATATTTTCATATTGTAAATGTCTGTGATGAGTGATGAGTCAGCTTAGAAAAAATCAAGGTACTATTTTTTGACCTGATTACCGCGGCAGTAAGATTTGACGGACGGTTATTAACATTGGGTCGGCATAGCCTCCCCAAAAACGATATTACACTAGTGTAATAACACTTTGACGTGACGTCATTTGCGCTATATATAATAGCGTTAAAGCGCGCTAATGTTAGCTACACTATAGGCGCGTCATTGAAAAATTACTCATTTTAACAGTTTACTGTTCTTATTTTATATATGTGATAAATAGAATATTATATTCGTGTAGATTCAATACTAAATTTATTGAACTCGTTGAATAAAACAATATTATGCTCGCCAGAGGCTCGCATAATATGATTTTATTCAACTCGTTCAATAAATTTAGTATTAAACTACACTCATTCAATATCCTCTATATTCCATACATTTCTCTTTTATGCCGTCTAAGAAATTATTTTCTTTTATAAAATACATGCATGGCAAAGTGCGATTTGAAGAATCAATGCGGTTATTTTACAATGTTACATGAACAAAACGCTGCACCGCTAATTTCTTTCACAGGCACTTGGGGTGTGGAGCTCAAAACGCCTTTAAAATCCAAATAAAATGTCTATTTGTCAATCCCAGCACATGACTGATCATATTTATAAAAAACTTCATATAAGCCGTTTTGAAAAAAAAAATATTTCAACGTCTATAATAATACACAAGATAAAAATGTTCGCCGGAAAAAATCTGCACACCTACCGTCAAAAACACCATGTATTTTATTCTGTTTCCAATAGTTTCACATAATCTTTTGGCCCATCGACACAGAAGATATAATTATTCACGATGATGGTCAATTTTAAACTTCAATGTCAATATAAACAACGCAACAAGCAAAATAAACATCGAGATTATCGCCGTTTTACTCCATTTACAAAATCTTTCGACAAATTCAAACGTGGCTCTCCAGCTTTGACAAATATACATTTTATTTGGATTTTAAAGGCGTTTTGAGCTTCACACCCCAAGTGTCTGTGGTTTCTTTGATTCTCGTCCAATCTTATAAGATTTAAGGGTTATGCAACACGTTTACTCATTTTAACAATAATATGATTCAGATTGTTACTGCCCCAAATATAATAGGTGTTGCTTTGGAAAACGAACTTATAAAGACTCTTCTTTTTTCAATATTTTTTGAGTTTTTGATATAGAAGTAAATTCAGATAGAAAACCAGAAAATAGTTCCTAATAATTAAATGTCACAACTCA